TGTGCGCGCGCGCGTTTTTGTGACATGAGGACACAAATTTGTATAATGATATGGGTATGACATTGGGATTACAAGGAGAAGGTGATTTATGAGGACATTACCCCATGTCCCCATATTTCAAAAGGCTTATAAATCATACAGAATGAGTTTTTTTGAGAAAGTAACAAACACGTGTGTGTGTGAGTGTGCACAATTCACAAAAACAAACCTGTGTGTGTGTGTGTGTGTGTTTTATTTATATACACGGCCATTCAAAAGTTTGGGTTTGTGGATCCTGTGCTCAAGAGACATTTTTTATTTTTATTACCAATGTTGAAAAATATATTTTTGTGAATTAAAAAATAAATACAAAGTTTAAAAGAACAAACATTTGTTTGAAATAAAAATCTTTTGTAACATTCTAAATGTATTTACTGTCACTTTTGAACAATTTAATGCATTTTTGCTGAATAAAAGTATTAATTTCTTTAAAAAAATAAATCATACTGACCCCAAACTTTTTGATGATAAGTGTATGTTTAATGACAGGCCATTATTCTAAAGTGTTACCAAATAATTTCCACTTGTCTTTACAGGTTTTTCTAAATTACTGAAAATAAATTATTTAAAAAAACATTTTCTTAACTTGACTTGGTTTTTGTGTTTTTTTGTAGACAACAGTCATAAAATTATAATTCCAGCTGTAATTAAAAACTGTTCTTTGCATTTTCAGGCCCTGATTTTGACCGTGTTAGCTTGTATACGAATGCAGTGCCGCTACTACCGAGCCAGACCATTAACAAAGGAGCTCCTAGCAAGAGACCCTTATTCCATCCGCGGTGTGCGCAAGCTGATCGATGGCTGTGCTTTCCGCATATATGGACACTGGGTCAAGAAAGGGGAGCAACAGAACCGAGCTGCTCTATTCCAGAACACAGCTAAAATCATTCTACTGGGCCTTGAAGACCTTGAAAACTAAAGGTCATATTTTTGTTTCTGAAGATATTCCTCGTCTGTCTATTTACAGTTGTATTTTTTTTGTCTTTCTTTTTTTTTTTAAGTTAGGGACTGATAGCCTGCCTGTCCAAAAGGTGCACAAAACACAAATAGTTATAGATTATCTTTAAAAGTGGGATGGTGCTTTTTGATTTTAACAACATGCCATGTGACCTCATTTTAACCACTCACTGTGGATTTTATGTTTTTAAAATTTAAGTTTTATCACAAACATATTGGTGGTATCATCTGATATTGCTTATTATATGGACCAGCTTGATATGAAGAGATAAGTTAAAAAAAAAAAATTACTCGGATTTACAATTACCTAACGGAGCTTGTCTCCTGTTCAGGCTCTCTAGCCTTTGATTGTTTTTGACACAAAGCAGATTCTGTTTGAATGTATTATCATTCTTATACTTCGAAAACAATTCCAGGATGTTGAAGACTAAACCATAAATGGACAAGGAACATTTAACGATGTGGAGTGGACTTTAAGACTTTCAATACAAGGGATAACATACTTGAAACATAGCATTACAGTTGTGTAACCCTACTGAGAGTTGTTTTGAAATCCATACAAAATTGTGTGTACAGGTTTTATTCATTTTTATTTTTGAAATATGTTTTACCACTAACCATTCATCATGAAGGTACTGTACTAATTCTAAACAGGTACACATATATGAATAATATATGCAATTACTGTTTTTGTGTGTTTTTGCTTTTGAAATGAGTGGTTTCCAAAAGTAAAGACGTGGGGCATATTTTCTTACTTCTTAACTTTTATGTTGGTCTCCAGTTTACTAATGGCATCATTAAGCTGATCAGCACTGTCCTGGAGCCGTTGCTGTAGCTGAGAGGTCAAACGCATCACTTCATCCCTTACTTCCTTTTGAACTATGGTCCTAAGCTCAGAATTCAGAGAAGACCCTTGTGGAAAAAAACGTACAGTTATTTTATTTGTTGTATGTAGTGAGTATTGCATATTAGAGCATGCAGTCTGGCATAAATAATATGTAATCGCTGTTTTAAAAATCTGGTCCACTTGTCTTTACAGGTTTTCTAAATTACTAAAATAAATTCTAAATTAAAAAAAAAAACAGCAAAACATTTTTTTTGTTGCCTGAATGTCTTTGTGTTTTGTCGACAATAGCATTCATGTATAATTCGACTCCACTAATTTTATTGAAATTTTCTATTTGTAATTATTTTATATATTAAATTCTCTCCCTGTTAGATGTTTTAAAAACAAAAAATATATATAAAAAATACTAAATGATTACATTTTTCTTTTATAATAATTTGTCAAACAGGAGTTGAAATGGATGATCTTATACATTGAGTTGTTCTAACAAATATAGATCTTTAGAGCTAATGGCTTGTGCATGCTTGCTAGTTTGTTTTTGGAGCTGTCATATTTACGTAAAGAATTAAATTAAACCTTTTGACAAGCTGTAATATATTAAGTACCTTGTTTGAGACTCTCTGTCTCTGTGGTCTTCATTTCTAGTGCAGCACTTTGTTGAACTTCTCCATCCTTTTCTGTCTCCCTCTCAGTTTGTCTTTCACCATCTGCAACACTTTCTTTGAACAACAATTGTATATGGTTTCAGTTCTCAGTTGTATGCTAAAGATATATTTTATTTAATCAAGTGTGCATTACTGTACCAGACTGGGAAGTTTTCTCTACATTTGTGTTCTCAAGTATTCCAATATATGACAAGGATATATCCAACTGTACCTTTACCATGCAAGAGAAAGAAGTCATAAAGTTAACACAACATTCCTGTTAACATAAATTAGAAATTAATACTTAAATTGAATACAGTATTTGGCCTGACCAATTTAAAGCCTCATACATACCTCTGGGGTAAAAATGCATTTGTATAAAAAATAATGTCTCATATATGTGTTGATGAAATAGAAGAAAATTTGTGTCACTTGCTCCGAGCTGAAAAGGTCAATACTGAAAGGAGGCCTCTGTGTTTAATAGGGGAAAGAACAAAAAGAGGATTGAGTACAAAACCTTTTGCTATGTGTGGTTTCTAAAACTTATGTCTAAGAAGATATTAGATCTACACTACTGTTCAAAAGTTTGGGGTTTGTACAATTTTTTTTATGTTCCTGAAAGATGTCTTTCATGCTTTTGTTTGTTTTAAAATACAGTAAAAACAGCAATATTGTGAAATACTATTACAATAAAAAATGTTTTCTATTTTAATAGATTTTAAAATGTATGCCATATGATGGCAAAACTGAATTTTACTTCAGTCTTCAGTGTCACATGATCTTTATATATATATATATTATTATAAAATTCTGATTTGGTGCCCAAAAAAACATTTCTTATTATTATTATTGATGATAAAAATGGTTGTTTGGCTTAATATATTTAACATATTTTATCTAATAATATGTTTATATTTAACATATTTATTGATGAATAGAAAGAACAGTGTTTATTTGAAACAAATTTTTGTGTAACATTATAAACATATTTTATCAATTTGATCAAAATGTGTCCTTGCTGAATAGATGTATTAGTGTCTTGCAAACAAAATCTTACTGACCCCAGATTTTTGAACAGTAGTGTATGTACATACCCTGACTGAATGGCAAAGCAGAAGTTCACTGCGATAGGTCATACAGTGATCTGTGTTATTGAGGGGTGTTTCTGAAAAGTTGACAAGAAAGAATGTTTATATTTTCTTGTATAAAATTATATCGATACAGTTAACTCTTTATTAACACGAGTACTATGGGTGCATCACCTGTGTTAAACTGATGTACAGTTTTGATAATGGAGATGAGTACAGACGTCTGTTCCCTGTTAAAATGTTGCTCTTTGCAGAACAGCACTAGATTGGTGTACAACTCAAGTAGTACTCTCTGCTTTGGCTGAGCCGCATCAGAGGCCAATAATGCACGGCACAAAATCCTAGAGGAGAAGCAGACTGTGCATTCATGTAATACCTGCAATGTTCTGAACCTCATGCATCAATTATTATTAGAGCCGTTCCACAGCACCTTTTCATCTTTGTAAATATGACAAAATGAACGTGCTTGTTATGTATTTCAGGGTCGCATTGCTATAAAAGGGTCTAACAGATTTTTAGAAATGTGTTTTGGTCTAGCTTAGACATTTATACTAATTCTTCATTATAATTTGGTTATTTATTCAGTTGCAGGGAAATTAGCAGGTTGCTTAATAATATAAAAATAAAGAGTTAAAGTTTTATTAACCCACTGCTTAGTAAGGGATTGAAAGTTTGAAAGGTTTAAAGAGGGTGTCTGTGTTTAACTGTTGAATTTTATAATGTCACTAATTGATGTATTATATAACATGATAGACTATTTAAAACTAACAAATTGGGATGGAATGTTTAAAATAATAATAACACAAATACTCATTTAATATACATTTGTTAGGCAACATAAAGCTTACAATATAAAGGTAAACCTTTCGATCTCTGGTATGGAATTGCTCTTCTCAGTCTCTTCCATATCACTGTGTTTCAGATCTGTCCTAGAAAGGCAATCAACAAGAGTTTAAGGGTATTTGTGTCTGAATATGTTCAAACTGAACTGGATTTGGTTTGGGACCTACCAAACAGCACTCGTGCCTTTGGAGGCTGGGGAACCTAAAAAGAATTAACAAAAAAGGATCAAATATTCTTGAAATTACTATTTATCACTGATCTCTAGATGTATAGCGTTTACCCTAATGTTCTCGAATGGCTTCATTTCTCTCCCTGGCAGTCTGAAAACGACGCTATAAAATATTGATCTAAACCACCTGTATGTGTTGCATCGTATCCTAGCAACTGATTTTTTTTTCTGAAAAACATCCACCAACCACTGATAAGCGCCAAGAAAACTTCACACGAGGGTGCACGCTATGGTTTTATTATTATTTTTTTTATTAAATTAAACAATAAAAAATAGGAATAAAATGTAATTATTGTCTTTATTACATGTGTTTTCTACGAATCAAGGAATAAATTAATTTGAAAGAAAACGTTTGAGAACTTTTATTTTCACCCTGCGATTTAGTGGAAGTGACGTAATGTATCCGACCAGCACGAAAGAGTGCACAACAATCAAGTTATTCAAATCGCTCAATCGAGCAAATACATCTGTGATTACAACAAATGTCCAAAAAGGTATGAGTGCTACAAACAAAAACGTTTCAACCATAGACTGTATAAAAACAGGTCTATACACGCACACTTTTATTTTGATAGACAATATTTTTTCCTGTAGTGTCAGTGTTCACACATTCTACTGTTCTTCCTGTGTTCCGGCCGAAGTGGAGGTTTGTTTGTGGGTGCAAAGAAAATCACTAAAACAAACATATTTGAATATACATTTGTAACAGTGAGGTTGCTAAAACGTTGTCGTACTGCTTATGACATATAGTTATAACACACTGTAATTTGTACTATAAAAAGGCCTATGTTTTGACGGTTGTAGCTCGCTAGCTATGCTTTACCTAGCATTGAAGCTAACCTCACTTAAAGCGCTATGGTTGCTTGAAATGAATGAAGAAAATAATATTTTATTCTAAAAAATATGTGATAGGATTCAAATGACTGTTAAAGCGTCTTTTATTGTTGGTGTCATTATAAAAAAAAGCCTAAAATAAATAAAAATTAGATCGTCGTCGTTAGCCAGCATTGATATATCAGTAAATCTCAAATTCGTGAGTTAAGTGACAGTTGTTTCTGTTTAAATCATATCATTATCGTTCACCATTTAGTTATGTTAAGGGAGAACAGATTAATATCTTGACTATGTAAAGGCAATTTTAGGCCACTTCGGTGAATATTATATATGCAAAATCTCTTTACAGTGTCTTGTTTGATAATATTAGTACTGATCGTCTTACTTAAAGTGATAGTGAATCCCAAAATGAAATGTTCAATCATTTACTCACCCTCATGTTATTCCAAATAACGTGCTTTTCTGTAGAACACAAAAGGAAATGTTGTGTTTAGA